TGGAATATTGCGTGGCGTAAATCTAAACTCACTCACTCTGTCGTCCGTATTTGTATCTGTTCCAGCTACTACTGGTAAATATCATTTACTGAGAGAGTGAGTGAGTAAGTTTAGTTTACGCTTTTAATCACTCGAAATATGAGCGGAGCAGTTTGGTAGCCCAGTGGTTAAAGCATTCCAGTACCGGCTTCAGTCTACTCCTTGGCACAATGAACAGAGTTCATTCCCTCTCAATGTTGTTGCTAAAGTGGTGTTGGTTGGTTGTTTTACGCCGCACTCAGCAATATTCCAGCTATATGGCGGTGGTCTGTAAATAATCAAGTCTGGACCAGACAATCCAGTGATCAACAACATGAGCATCGATCTATGCAATTGGGATACGATGACAAGTGTCAACCAAGTCAGCGAGCCTGACCACCCGATCCCGTTAGTCGCCTCTTACGACAAGCATGGGTCACTGAAGATCAATTCTAACCAGGATCTTCGAGGTCTTCATTAAGTGCCCAACGAAGCAACGCAGTTGAAAAGACCAAGGGCTTCTGCAAATGATAATGCCCTGAAAAATACCGTACCGTTATTATAGCTAAAATGGATAGAATTTTTGATTAAATAAAAACAAACAACGGTATCGGTTTTGAAGCATTTACTGCTCACAACAAACGACGGAGGTCACTGACCCACTTTTACAAATGTGGAAACGTCATAGAACAAAACAGATGACGTCATTCAATGCTCAACAACGTTAGAGTTCCAGTCTATGTTTTCATTGCTGCATGTTGTAATTTAAAATTAAATGCATAATAGCACAGGTACATGGAACGAATGTGAGTCAGAAATATCGTCAATATTGACCTCAAATTCAAACGAGCCGTACTGATCGAAAATCAAGAGCTGAGCTCCTTATGACGTCACCTAACAACGGGCGTGATAATGGCCCGTCGTCAAGCAATTTGAGGGCATTATTGATTGATTGTATTTCAGAAATGTAGGTAATTCACGCCCATAATTCACATACATAGTCCTTTAATATACTTGACAGAGTACCTTGTTATATAAATTATGACATATTACAATATTTGATTGTTTTGCCAACAACGTTTAAATATGCTTACATGATACATTTAAATCATTTACAATTGTTTTCAATCCAGTTTTGTCTTAATTTAAAACTGTAAAGTATAAAAGCTCCTAACTTCCAAGCGTGCTGCTTGTTACAAATTGACATGATATTAGTAACATTATAGTAATATTTTGCAATATGTATGTATTCATTTCTGGACAATGGACAAATTAAAAGAAAATGTTCTTCATCCTCAAGCAATCGTATTGAATAAATCACAATATAAACTAGTGCTGGTATTGGCATACAACCTGCGATACGATACATCACGATACTAAAGTTTAGTCACGACGATATTATTGCCAAAGTATTGTGAACTTAAGCTGAGATACGATACGAATCCCGATACAAGCGTGGCGATACGATACGTATCATGATACTAAAATCTTTAATTGTAACACCAACTATAAAACACCTGAAGATCAAAACAAAACCATTTTAAAGCATATTGTCAAATTCCGCTTTAAACTTTATACACGGACTTTGTGAATGTTAATAAAATGCGAGCGTTATGTTTGACTCAGTTCCTGACGCAAGAATTTCCGAGAAACTTATGAAGGGAAAATAAATATGCATATATTTTAATCATCAAACAAAAGTAAGTCTTTCTTGACAGATATCGCGATTCGGCAACATTCAAAGTTAAACATCGAGGTATCGTGGCCCATTTGAAGTATCGTATCGGGATATACGACAATGTAAAACTTTGTATCGATTAACAGTATTTGCGGCCCATGAATCGATGCATCGATGCGTATCGATGAATCGTCACACCCCTTATATAAACACTCTCTATTTTCAACGGAGATACTTTCCCAACGTCCTGAATTTGGGGGTACTATCAAGTTACAGTGGCCTGCTCATTTCTGATAACATGCGGGCGTTTTAATGATAATTCTATCCATTTTAACTACAATGAAACGTTAGAACCTGAATCTATTTTTGATAAACATTATTTGCCTCGTGTATGTGGAACACAAGTTAATGATAAGGTATATAACTATCGTACTAAATTGATAGATATATGTAGAAATTTGAGTTTGATTATTTTCGACAACAAACAGCAGTTGCACCGCATGTTGAGAAATTCACAAAAACCCTCGCCTCTTGAATTCTAGAAGTTTCTTAATAAGACTATGGAACAAACATTGAATGATGCAATGCCGGATATTGATACATTTTTCAATCATTTTAAAACTCAAAATAGTGCTGAAGAAGTAATCAGTAATGATAATGAGAGCCCTGATAAAACTGATTTGACTGTGAAGAATTGAATGACAACGCTACAGGAAATCACAAAAGCAATCAAGGATTTGAAAAGAAACAAAGCCTCGGGTGTAGATCAGGTAGAAAACGATTACATTATTAATTCGGTTGGTATCTTAGCACCGGTTTATATTGAATTCTTCAACTGGGTACCTACAACAAGGCCTTTGCCCGAATAGTGGCTTAATGGCATCATAAAGCCTTGATCTATATCAGGTGACACTAAAGATACATGCAATCATAGACCATTTTAAGCTGCTTAGGAAACTGTTCACACGAATACTTGATACGCGACTTTCAAACTTTTATGATAAAACGCGATTTTATCCTCCGCTCAGGCTGGATTTCGTAAACATTTCAGTACGACCAACAACATATGTGTCCTCAGTTTACTTATGCAGTTCCTAAAGTTATCGAAAAGAAAATTGTAATTGTGCTTTCATTGATTTCACCAAGGCTTTTGATACTGTTTAGAGAGTAGGACCATGGTCAGAAATGCAGAAAAATGACATTAAGATAAAATCCTTAATAAACATGTATAAGGATGTAAAATCTCAAGTTCAGGTAAATAATATTTATTCAGATTGCTACCCATGCCTCACCGGAGAAAGACAAGGAGAGGACCTTGTTCCGCTACGGTTCTCTATATTCCTAAATGATTTGGAACCACATTTGTTATCAAAAGGTTGGGCAGGGGTAAGTGTCGATATCAAGTGCCTAGATAACTCCGATATAAATATTAGACTAGGACAAATTACTCAAACTGTTAACCCTGAAGGCAAATCGTGTTAATTTTTGGCATACATGCTTTTTTGGGTATTGAGGGGTGATGAATCCAAATATGATGTATGCTAAGCTCAAATATGCCCCCAGTGCTTCAAAATGCAGAAATCCAAGATGGCCGCCAATGCCAGATTGAAACATGAAAACTAATATATCTCTTTCATTTATCAAGGTAGAAAGTTGAAAGACGTATGCTTTCTTACGTTTTCACATATAGGAGAATGCAATGCATTACTCAATTTCATGATTAAAACTGTAGAAAATTCTTAAGTTGTACATCTTTTGCAAACAATTGTCATTTTTTAAACAATAAATTTGTCGTTCAACTTATAATATCATCCATAAGAAGGTTAATTTGATATGTCCTGCAATGATGAACAAAATGTGTGGAGGTTTGTTTGTCACTGCACATAGATATATCCTCAGTAGTGATAGTCTGTCCTGGAATATTTGGTTTTCACAACTTGGTATATGATAACTTTGCAAACGATCTTGAAAAATACTTTTGTATTGCAGGTCTGAATTGATCTACCAGTGGCTGAAAACATGACCGAAAGCACAAACCAAACTCGAAATAGACCAATTTCACTGGAAACACAATTATGCATTGTATGCCAGAAAGAGAACAAGCAAAAGCTCATGACAGTCAGCAGTGATGGTCTTCGGTCAGTCAATACTATTAGAAAACTTCGTTCTAAATTCCGATAGGACAATTTCATAGAAGTAACTGTTCGACTCACTGAAATACTCCAATAGGACTCGCCTCAGCCAATGTTATGACATAAGGACTGTCGATCTAGTTAAATGAGTAAATTTAAAGTTGAAAGACTAGACAATGCTGCATTGAGAAAAACAAACAGCAGAGGTTCGTCTGGAACCTCATGAAGTGATGTTCTTCGAAGCAAAACATATGCGACTGATTGGAATTAGTGCATCTTTTGTCAAAAACAAGAAAGAATCACTTCATCTCATACAAGAATCCAAAGTCAGCACCAGAATACTTTTGCTTTTTGTGATTACTCAACTTCGATAAAGTTGAATGTGATTATTAGTAAAACTAAAATACTCATATAGGGAGGAGGACCTGCAGAATCCTCTAAAGTAACATTCTTTATGGTAAGAAATGTTTAGAAATAGTTGCTACATATACATATCTTGGGATTAATATGCATAGAAATAGACGATTTAAAAGCGGAATTAAAACATTTTGTGATAATGCACTAAAGGCAATGTATGCATTACTTATAAAGGTCGAAACTTAAATCTACCTTTAGATACTATGTGGTACTTTGGTTGTTCCTATCCTAACAGATAGCTCAGAGGTATGGGGTTTTGAAAATCTTGACATAATTGAACGATTTCACCTAAAATTTCTTAAACTTGCTGCAGGTTTAAGAAACTCTATGCAGTGTTTTATGGTATATGGCGAACTTGGAACACAGCCGTTATACATTAAGATATACAAAATGAGTTTTCTGTACCTCGCATTAAAAAAATGGAATTCAGCACTTACATTGGTACTCACATTCGTTACATGTCATGGTCCTCCTGCACAAAGAGGTCTTAGGGTTAAGATGATCGTAACTCCCATTCTCTAACACAGCCTTTTAAGCAGTGACCTCTGGTCATTAAACATACAGGTAAGGACCTGACTGACTGGTTGTGTTGCCCTATTGTTTCATTCTTAATCGGCAATTTCATACATTTCCGGGTGTGGGCTGCTGATGCATCTGCCAACATTCCTGACTAAATAAATCCTGAATCACCTTGCTCTTAATCGGTTCATGAATCATGACCCTACAAAGCGTTAGATCCTCTGAATTCAGTCAGCTCACTCCAGTTTCCATGTTCGCGGCTCCCGCCTCTTTCCCCACTGCCACAACTGGATGTCGGTGTTGTTACAGGTCTCGGTGATAAGAATCATTTGGGTGGTGTCCACACTTAGACAGAGGCCACTGGCGGACACAACTGGACCGTGTCCATCAGCAGATGGATCATAACGCCACTTTTGACTCATCTGATCTTCGTCACATATTGCTATGGCAACAGGTCTCGTAGCTTCCTGGAAACAAAACATGTAGTTCTTGATTTCCCTGAGTTCCGTGTAGTCCCATAGCTGGTTCCCAAGCTTTCCGTGGCACGAAAGCAAAGCAATGGGTGATTCCAACCTCTTGCTCCCGTAAGCGTCATCAATGCAAAACGTTCTCAAGCCAACATTCCGCATCTCGCCAGTATAAATCCCATCTCCAACAATGTAAGACTCCGGGCTGACGTTGGCAAGGTACCATTCAAACGAATGGCAGTGCAGATCCTGTCTTAGCTTAACCCTGTTAGAGACGTCGCCGATATCAGCCAAAGTGCCATCGTGGTTACGGGCGAAGATGTTGTAGCTGTCCATCCAGACGTTGGCGATTCTGGCAATGTTTCGACTGAAGAAAGGCGGATTGGTGTCGTAATGTTTATGAGGATGGAACATATGGCCAACATTGGAGCAGGGGACTAACTCCAGCCCTCCCCCACACATCCAGGTTTTGAGGGAGAGTTCTGTGTTCTCTGCACCCCACACCTCCAAGCCGGGGTCAAACTGTCCCAGTTTCCGAAACCATCGTTGACTGACAGCAAATACGCATCCTACCATTGCAGGAGAACGGTAGGTGTCTGTTGGTCGTTTTCGTCTTAATTTTTCTCGCTGTGGAACCCTCATCCAAGCAAATCGTAGTTCAGGGAAAGACACCCACTGCAACTGGATATCCTTTGTCAGGTCAATTCCGAAGTCCCATGGGTTAACACCGTGTATCAAAGGAGTGGTGATTATAGTATCATTTTCGGCGATCCTTGTCACCAGTGGTTCCAGCCAGCCAGGAAAACATTCACAATGTGCGTCCATGAACACTGCTACAGGAGCAGTAGACTGTTCAAAGCCCATCATCCGCGCTCTTATCAAACCCTCCCTGGACTCCACTCGCAGTATCTGCACTTTCCTGAATCTGGAGACATACTTTTCCAACGGTTCCTTCAGAACCTCGTCTGTAGATGCATCGTCCACTAAGATGATCTCTTTGATGAGATGAGGTGGAGTGTTGTCCATGATGCTGTGGATAGTCCGTAACAGGACTGACCAGTGCTCGTTGTGAAAGATGATGATCACACCTGTTTCAGGGAGGTTGAAGTCTGTGTACAACGTGTGACATCCTTTAAGACGGATATCAGGCAGAGATCTCTGGAGAGGTATGAGACTGCTAGTATAACTGGAATACTCCCTCTCTTTACTACTCCTTCGGAACCTCTCAGCTTCTTCTTTGGGCAACTTCTCCACATCCACTACCAACGCACTGCCGTTGACTCCAGGATTTTGTAATCCCAACACAGATTCCACAAGTGTAATATTTGGAATATCAGGGAAATCAAAACGGTCATAGATTTTGATAGATTTACTTACAAAGGAAATTCGTTGAAAAACTGTTCTAGCAACCCAGATATAGTTATAGATGAGCGTCAAAATTAACAGGAAAAATAGCGCTGAAACCCTCTTCCGCATAATGGACATCTTTGTACTGAGAAATTCAGTGTTTACTGTAAGAAAGACATATTCAAGCGCCACATGCTCCTGCGCAGCTGTCATTGATGTAAGTGGCCCAATCTTTGTTTACCATTGCACACATATTAGAGTATTGGTGACATATTCATGCATGAGGAAATCAGAGTATACTGAATCAAATACAAATTCATGTTCCACGTCCTCCCGTGCAGCTGTCACCAAAGTTTGTGAAGCAGAATATATTTCCCATAACACAAATATTTGAATATTTTATTCGCGTAAAACAGCCTTCATGAAAAGTTTCGTTTTCTCAAGATTCGAGAGTATACCTGTTTTCATGCACGCTTCAAACGAAAAGGAACAAATTGGTTCGGTTTCGCGGTTTATTTTTACCCTCAAAATTCACTTTGTTATTTCGTTTGGTTGTTTAATGCCACACTCAGCAAATTCCAGCTACATGGCGGTGGTCTGTAAATAATCGAGTCTGGACCAGATAATCCAGTGATTAGCAGCTTGAGCAACACAATGACGTGTCAATCAAAGTCTGATCACCCGATCTCGTTAGTCGCCTCTTAAGAAAAGCATGGGTCGGGTCTGGGCCAGACAATCCAGTGATCAACAGCATGAGCATCGATCTGCACAATTGGGAACCGATGACATGATTCAGGATACGACTCAACCCAAAAGAGTACTAGAATCGGCACTTCACCTACAAAGTGTCATCCCAGATATTACACAATTCTCTTAAAAAAAGTACGGTAACTTGAACTTCAATTTGGATAGGAAGTATAAGCGTCAATAAACTTTTCAAAGACAGGCATCTTATGAACGCACCACCATTTCTCTTTATCACCGCCCATAAACATCAATGGGGTGCACGTGCACAACACAGCAGTCCCACACAAGTGCACTGGGTGTCATTCTTGATTTTCACGGCTTTCAAGAAGGTCGACAAATCACTGTAGACCATGAATGTTGACAATCATCTTGGATCACACTTTACCTAAAGTTAAGCACCTGTTATGATTATTGATGTTTTATTGACAGCTCGTGGCAGACATTGCGTTATTCTTTACAAAATTAAATGTTTGTAATACAAATATTATTCACAAATCCTTTTGCATAAGCACGAACAGGCATCCCCCTTCTACGATATCAATAACAAATCGTGCATAGATGCAAAACTGTGATGAGTGTTATTGTTTGCATACGAAGGTACAAAGAGGTCTTGTGAAAATCAATTACGTCACATGCTGTTGCTCCATAATATTAACCAAGGCTATTTATTCTGATTATTTACAATCTCTTGACATATGACGTAATTATACATTTTATATTTGAAAATAATGTCAGTGCAATGGTCTTGATTATATATAGTGAGGATAGTTTTGATGTTGTACGGGTCAATTGTGACAGTGAAACAAATAGATATGGAAGACAGCTACTCGACTTAAGTAAACATCTTGATGTACACATCGTCAATGGGAGAACCCCGGTAGATAATCCGAATAACTTTACCTTTATTGCACAACAAGGTGCAAGTGTGATTGACTATTTCCTAGTGTCCAGCAAATTATTTCACACAATAATAAAGTTAATCGTATACCCAAACACACTGTCTGACCGTATGCCTATTGCGTGTTCCTTTTATAACTTGTTTGATGAAGATAACCAGGAACTGTTGACAATAACCACTGAACTTAACCATATACCAAGGATTACAATTTTGAATGATAAAGCAGTTTTAGAGCACAAGATACTTTTCATACCATTGTAAACGAATTTATGACAACTTTAGATATAGACATCAACCTAGCAGCTTCAAAACTAAATGATATGATCTTATTTTGTGCATCTCAATGTGGGGAAAATATCTTTTGGTAAACAGAAGTACCGTGATCAACAACCAGCCAAGACCAAGAATGTGAAAATCTAAAGACACGGAAAAGCAGAGCATTACACCAAATGAGGAACTTTGCATGTGACGAAAATTGACTTATATACGTTGAAGCTAAATCAAATTTGAAGAAGTGTTGTAAAATCAAGAAAATTAATTTTGATAAAAAGGTAGCACGTTACATCTCTGAAGCAGGAAATGGAACTCATTGTAAATTATTTTGGACAAAATTGAAATATGCTCTTGGTACAAAATCTAAGATCTCAACAATTTCGTCTGATGTTTTTTGCTGACATATTTTGAAGATCTCTTAAATCCGGAACTTAATGATAAGTGTGAATTTGGAGAGAGTGCTTCAAATTTCATTTAGCACTTTGCAGACACCCGATTCTCATGACATGAGGATATCACATTTGTGTATTCGAGGATTCAAATAAAAAACATTATCAATGGATTCTCTGTCGAGCTTACCCCACCCCACCGTTGGGACATGCAACAGTCACATTACATGGCAAGCATAACTGATCACCTGAACAACTTTGGTGCTTCCTCAATACATATTGAGAGAAATACCAAGATATATTATGTTGTCATTATTTGTTAGGTGTATTTCTAATACTTATAAATATTGTTCCACTGTGCAGCATGATAAAGATCAATAGTCATGCCCGTTTACATTTCATCTCCGTTTACATGAGGCCGAAGGCTGTTCGTGACACGTGTAGATTCAACGCAATACCTTTGATAATTACAGTGTAACAGTGGTTGGGAAGTGTGTGCATCATGGCCTTACCATGCGCACGTCCAAGAAGACGACGAACTATCATTTCTTGTTTATTAATATGCGTTATAGTCGCTGTAATGTACAGTATAGGGACGAACCACAGTGAGTTGTCTCGGGAATTGCCAGATCCCTTGTTACGTCTTCACAACCCCGACGATCCCAATGTGAAACTCGTGTTTGCCCAAATGAATCTGACGGATCCAGGAGTCAATGGTACAGGATTGGTGTTAAATGTGACGAAACTTCCCAAAGGAGAGGCTGAGAAGTTCCGGAGGAGCTTGGAGCAGAGGGAGTATTCCAGTTATACCAGCAGTCTCATACCTCTCCAGAGATCTCTGCCTGATATCCGTCTTAAAGGATGTCACTCGCTGTACACAGACCTCAACCTCCCTGAAACCAGTGTGATCATTATCTTCCACAACGAGCACCGTTGGAGGAGTATGTCCCCCGATTCAGCAAAGTGCAGCTACTGCGAGCTAAGTCCAGGCAGGGTTTGATAAGAGCACGAATGATGGGTTTTGAACAGACTACTGCTCCTGTAGCAGTGTTCATGGACGCACATTGTGAATGTTTTCCTGGATGGCTGGAACCATTGGTGACAAGGATCGCCGAAAATCAGAGTATAATAACTACCCCTAACCTTCACTGGTTAGATTCTGAAAGCTTCAAAATCCACAAATGGGGACAGCGAAAGAATATTGCAAAACCCATTCTCACCTTCCCCAATCTTTTCTTCACCTGGTCCTCCATGTCAGAAGTGGAAGAAGAGAAAACGGGAGACTGACCCAGTTCGGTCTCCAGCCATGGTTGGATGTGTCATTGCCGTCAGCAGGAGTTGGTTCAAGAAACTTGGTATGTTTGATCCTGGTTTGGAAATCTGGGGCGGGGAGAATACCGAGTTATCCTGAAGACGTGGCTATGTGGAGGTGGACTGGAGATCATTCCCTGTTCCAATGTAGCGCACATGTACCATCGTCATCGATCATCAGAAGAAAGTGACATCAGGTACAAAAGAAACATCGCTCGTGTGTCCAACGTGTGGTTGGACAAGTACAAACATTACACTGACAATTACGACGGTAGCATTGCGGATTATGGTGACATTTCGGATAGGATAGGTCTAAGAGATTCACTGAAATGTCATCCATTTGAGTTTTATTTGACACATGTTTATCCAGATCAATTCATCCCAGGGAACGGTATTTACACAGGGCCAGTACGAAATGTAGAGGTTTCTTTCCACTGTCTCGACTCAGGAGGCGGAAAGAATGGGGATTCAGTCAATGTTTTGTTGTACTCTTGTCATGGGCAAGGGAATCAACTATGGGATTTTACAGAGCATCATGAGATTAGAGCTGGAGGACAATGTTTAGATTCAGGATATGGAGATAACGTTGTGATGCGGAACTGTCACGGTCAGAGAGGGAACCAGGAGTGGGAAGTGGTCAGTCTGGAGGGTCACGTGCTGCTCCGGTCTCACGGAAATTGTGTTGGTGTTACCAAAGATAAATCTGCTCTTGTCTTGGAGAAATGCCACAGTTCTTCACTACAGCAGTGGACTTGAAAGCAAAACAGGAAACCTAAGATTTCATGACCATATTTTCCTATCACTTTTGACAATGATGTATCTCAGAGGGCAGAAAAGCAGAGGCAAGTACAGGTTTTTTATCATGCTTAGCATTATTTCCCCAGTGTATCTCTACCTAGCGAGTTGATTTCGCTTGCGCACATTGGATTGGTGTGTACATTCGTTCCAGTAATAAAGGTTGCTTTTACTTTGCTTTCATACACACACGGGTTCTTGTTCATGCAATAGATGTGCATGTATATTGGTTTCTATTCATACTGCAGGCGCTAAATTGCAATCGGATATACATGTACAGAGGCCCAGATAAGCTGCGTATTATCCGGTTAAAATACGCATAGAAAATTTCCAGTTACGCATTGAAAAGTAATTGTTGCGTACCAGTTACGCATTTAAAATGTTAGATACGCAAAAAGTTTAAAACAAATGCGTGCGGAATATATTTATAAAAATAGCTTGCATTATGAAAAAGACATCGATTGCTATCAAGTTGTGCTGTTAGTATAGGACAAGTCTTATACTGTCAGTATAAGATGAGTGATTTTTTATGAAATCATTTCCATTATATTTAAGTTGGTTTTGATTAGATATGACGTAAGGCAGAACATACCTGCATAGTAAACTTACTCAATGACATAATACTTAGGTGAGTAAAATGACTGAAATACGCACATATTTGAAAGCAGTGGGTAACTGAAAATGAAATACCCACTCAACATTCATAATACCTACTCCAAAAAAATACAGTGGGTATAGCACCGACATGAGCTAAATCTTATCTGGAGCTCTGCATGTATATGCAAACTGGTCAATATCTATGCTGTGGCTACGGTATTGCTTTCGGAATACAACATATACATTGGTTGTAATTCATATAGGAAACACCTGCATTTCTGTTCGATATCCATATGATTTGTTCCTATTCATGTAGAATGTACTGCTGAATTCAAAGTACATATCAGGGCGGTTGGGTAGCCTAGTGGTTAAAGCGTTTGCTCGTCACGCCGAAGGCCCGGGTTCGATTCTCCACATGGGTACAATGTGTAAAGCCCATTTCTGGTGTCCCCCGCCGTGATGTTGCTGGAATATTGCTTAAAGGGGCGTAAAATTTCTGCAGAAATGCATTTTCAGAGCTAGCCTGTGAGCTTATGAACACGTGAACACACTGGCACATGATCGTTTGAGTTCATCTCCTCGAGATCTATCCAGTGATATAAGACCGCCTCCGTGGTGTAGTGGGTACAACGTCCGCCCGGAGAGCGGAAGGTCGCCGGTTCGATCCCCGACCGCGTCATATCAATTGACGTTAAAATATGGTACTTGTTGGTCCCTGCCTGGCGCTCGGCATTAATGGGTACAACAAGGACTGGTCGGCTCGGAGTCAGTATAATGTGTGTGAGTGGGATATTCATGCTTCACTGCGGCATGGTATCTCTGTGGGCTAGCACTATAAAACCAGCTTCAGTCTGGGCTAGGACAAGCAGCCGCACATACACATACACACGCATGCACGTCGTCATACGAGCGAAATATTCTCAAGCACGACGTTAAACCCAATTTCACCTCACCTCTAGTGATATAAAATATGTCATTGTGGCTTGCTTCCTTCGGTGTGTCAAGTTAGGACTCCTAAGTTGTCCCGCCCGGCCTTAAACAGATCGAACCCATGGCGTTGAATACTAAGTGCGGCGTACAACGATAGAGAGAAAAAAAAATGAAAACAAAGTGTGAGTGGGTGAGTTTAGTTGTACGCCACGTTTAGCAATATTCTAGCAATATCACAGCGTGGGGACACCAGAAACGGGCTTCACACATTGTTCCCATGTGGGAATCAAACCCGGGTCTTCGGCGTGACGAGCAAACGCTTTAACCACTAGGCTACCCCACCGCCCCCAAAAACAAAGACGTACCTGCGAATTGTCCCAGGTTAAAACATCCAATAAACCTATGCCTGCCTGGATTATTCTCAAGCCCGAAGTATCCATCCAAACTGGTCACAATAATATCTTGCTTGACCAGTCCTTGCCTCGACGACCAATTCTAACAGAAAAAGTACGCAGATGTCGAACTGTCCTCCAATTCTAAATTTTAATAAAGTTGCTAATTTGAGCATGAAAACTATTTAAATTTACACGAACTCATCTGTTGATATATTTACTGTATTTTAGGACTAGTTACCACCGGTTAGAAATTGAGAGTGGAAATGACAGGAAATACACTCCACAATACGGTTGTGACGAACTCAAAGGGATCAACAATTCTAGCTGGTTAACCGTAGTTCGTTATCACCGTAGTTCGTTATCACCGTAGTCGTTATAACTGTAGTTCGTTACAACTAGTTCGTTATAACCGCAGTTCGTTATAACCACAGTTCGTTATCACCGTAGTTCGTTATCACCGTAGTCGTTATAACCGTAGTTCATATAACTGTAGTTCGTTATAACCGTAGTTCGTTATGGCCGTAGTTCGACATAACCGTAGTTCGTTATAACCGTAGTTCGTATTACACATTTTAACTAACAAATCCAGCAAGTGGCAAAAAGTCGAGTTCGATATATCCGTCATTTTGGTTGAGTTCGTCATAACCGTAGTTTACTGTAAGTCAAATGTTCGAAGCTGCCGACGAATTACACAAGGTGAAGAAACAACCAAAAGTGTATGTCCCAGCTTCCTTTGGAGTAAGATCTGTTGCAGCATTAAATAAACTGTTGCAGTGTAATAATGCAAGAGCAGTTGAAGAGCTTGCTAAATTCTTTAAATTTATCATCCAGACGTTCAGAATGTCATTACATGTAGTCATCTACACCTATAACTAGTCGTTCTCATTTCATGTAAATCTTCATCTCGCTGTGTGTCGTCGCTTTGAGTGTAATCAAGTTCAGTTCGGCCGTAATGTTGGAGTTTGCGAAAGACATTGAGACAGTATTTGCTTATTCGTTCACTGAATTAGCTAGAGCAATACATTAAACCTGTCATTCATACGACAGCCATACGGCTCATTGTCACTATAATATACTACTGAAATAAAGTAACTGTGCATTATTTGATGTTATGCAATGTTTAATGCAAACATATGATTCGTGGTGTTTTCCTTCATCACTGGTTAACGTTGACAGGATAATATCGAAATCTGTATGATTTGACACAAGGCATCGTGATACGCCCTTCAGAAGTCAGTTCACAAATTCAGTATCGTGTGTGTCCACCGTTGGCGTTAGTGGAGTCTTGGCAACGACGGCGCATAGCGCTTGTTCCAATCCAGCTAACGACAGTGTCTGATTCAGGGCTTGACGTAAACGTCGATCCATTTCATCCCAAGCGTGCTCGATAGGGGTCAGGTCCGGAGAAACAGTTGGCCAGGTCAGTACCGGAATGTTCTGCCATCTGAGCTGTCCCGATGAAATCTCGACTCGTCAGTGAACAAAACACCATCCGAATCTTGTCTGCTGTACCGTAGAATGCTGTCTGCACGAGGCAAGACGTGCCTGTCGGTGACGTTGGAGCAAAATTGGACATATAGCAGGCCGTCGGGGCCGGATGTTGTGCTCACAGTCGGTTCCGTACAGTCCTGGAACTGCAGTCTGGAATCGATTCCTTAAATGGGTCAACCGAATGTGGTTGTCTTGCTGGCGTGACGTGTTCCCATTATGCTGAAAACGTCTCCATAGAGACAAGATCGTGTTTGGATGGACACCAAAATGTCTGGTCACTTCATTTTCGGCCAGTCCAGTCTCCAGCATACCCATGGCGTGGAGACGCTGATTTTCTGTAAGCCATAGGTTCAGGTTGAAATTAACGTGTTTTCCACAACAATCAGAGGCTAGAAAAAAAATCAACCGTTCTTCAATTTTCAATATCAGGTGTGTGAACTTCAGGTGTCAAAAAGCATGCAAACAGTAAGTTCATTGTGCACAAAGTGCACGTGCCAACGCAATACGTGACATCAAATGTCATGCAAAGTACTTTACTACATGTTTATTATGGGTTACTTTTATATATTTTCAAAAATACTTTATGTTATACAATTTTATGTTATGCACAGTTACTTTTTTCCATTAGCATAGGCATGACATTTCTTTGACTGTTTTGTATCAACAACTAATCTCAAAGGTCACCATCGATTTTACATTTTTCTCTAAAAAACAACAACATTTTTGTCTTTTTGTTTTCGTATGTAAATATTGATCACAATACAGGCAAACGATTCCTTTTTGATTGAGTGTGCATTTTCTTGCTGGTGGGAATATACCACGTGTACTGTCTGAAGCTCGAGCGTGTCGTTGACAACGAGTGTGTTCGTCTTTGCGCTGGAATGAGTGAGTGAGTTTTACGCCGCACTCAGCAATGTTCCAGCTATATGGTGGCGGTCTGTAAATAATCGAGTCTGGACCAGACAATCCAGTTATCAACAGCATGAGCATCGATCTGCGCAATTGGGACTTTGCGCTGGAAACGGACCGTCATGTATGCTTTGATATAAAATATTCCCGTGAGAAAGAAAGGCTTTCTTAAGTTTAGACTTGATATACCACCCCTTTGTTATGAAAACAGCCTGCTTGGTCTTGGCAAGCGATCAACGCGTGAAGATCGGGGAAAGCATGCATTCTGCGCTGTGCCTCGTGGTACCTTCGTAGCACAAACTGAGACCCTTTTGCTCAGATAAATTGGACTGTAGGATTTGTGATTCCGTATGATACCTGGACGGAAGGAGCTATTTCAAATACCTCCCATCACAATCGGATGTGCGTGCCTTTGAACAACACTTCAGGGTGGCAAAGGTAGCACAACCTGCCGAAAAGCGTTCTCACTGAATTCAGATAGGTAAGTGACAACGTCTATGAAAGTACAGAATAGTATTTAACTATTAGTATTGTAGGAAAGAGTTACTTCCGTTCCCCGATTTCTTTCTTCCGCTGATGAACAGAGGTAACGCAATGTGGTCCGACCCAATATATTGTAATTAATTTTGGGCTTGAAGTTATCTTTATGAGTTCTCTACCAGTAATTGTTGTGTTAGGTTTTGTTAATAATTCTAGTATATATTAATTTTTATATATTATTAGGGATGGGGGAACGGGAAGACTGTTACCGTATTGTATATCATAACTGATAGATGCTTAAATATATTGGACCGCCCCCGTGGTGTAGTGGTTAGAGCGTCCGCCCGGAGAGCGGAAGGTCGCGGGTTCGATCCCCGGCCG